TGTTGGATATGCGACATATCCAACCGAGTCAAGGATATGTTGGATACTTTAGTCCAGAGGAGGGATAAGGCTCAGCTACGGGCCATCCGAGCTGAGGGAGAAAGATTATGGAGAAATGCGACCCAGTAGTCGCATCGATATTCCCGTAAAGAAGAACAAGCGATGGACTATACCCTGGCGAATGAGACACAAAAGAAGAATACAGCCCTCTAAAACCCTACAAATCATACAAGCGAATGTAGGCAAGCGGGCATCCGCCCACGAAACAGCACTGAACCTGGCTTACGCAGCCCAGATCGATATACTCCTAATACAAGAGCCGTCTATCCGTTCGGAGGAGAGGAGGCTCATAAGACACCACCCAGGCTTTGAGACTTTCACCCCAGTAGATAACTGGACCGAAGAGCGTCCCAGGGTACTTACCTACCTCCGCAGAGGAACTGGGGTACGAGGCGTACAAACACGGCCTCTACCCGATCCATCCACAGACCTGCTCTTCTTACGACTCCTCTCAGGAACGAAGGAGGTCCTCACAGTCATCAACGTATACAACGCCCCTCGTGGCTCTCTGCGATCTGGCCAGGCTCTCAGGAACATCCTAGCGGCCTGGCAACCCAAACCTGAGGATCGAGTACTGATTGCGGGGGATTTTAACTTACACCATTAGACGTGGCAGCCCGAGGCCACGAGTTCCCCGGACGCTGAAAACCTAGTAGAATGGGCAGAAGCCGCCAGCCTTGTCCTAATGTCACCTATAGGTGAACCCACGCACAAAGGCGGCAACACCCTAGATTTATGCTGGGCGTCCAGCAACCTCCATGGGGCTTCCACCAGCATAGAAACGTCACTACACACGACATCAGACCACGAATCTCTGCTTACCCGGGTCCCCTTGGCCCTGATCGATTCACCCAGCCAGACCCCGGGAAGGTTTCGGCTCGACACGATGGACGAGGAGCTTTTCCTCGGCATCATTAAACGTAACTTATAACCCATGCGCCGTACTGCAAGCAACATCCAAGACCCACAGTCTTTAGATCTCCTAGCATAACAGCTTACGGACTGTCTTATTAAAGCACTTACGGCTTCCACAAAGCGCACGCTCGGGAAAGGTACAGGGAGACCATATTGGAGCGAGAGCTGCACACGTAAACACCGAGCCTATGCGAGTAAGCGAGCGATATTAGTAAGACTCCGCACAGCCGGAGTGAACTGCCAATGGGAAGAAGAGGAGGTCGAAGCTCTAAAACAGGACTTCCTCTACGAGTTTAAACGCTCCAAGGATGCCTTTTGGAAAGACAAGATCTCCTTAGCCTCCTTAAGTAAAGACATATTTGAAATGGTCGGTTGGCATAAAGCCATAGGATCCTTTCAGACCCCGCTACTCCGAGATGTAGATAACTAAGACACGCTTGTCTCATAACTAAAAGAGAAGTGCGACTTATTTACCCGCGTCCTCCTTAGAAATGCTGTAATCTCCGAGGACATACCAATAGAAAGCCCAGTCCTATAAAGGCAAGCTACGCTTCCTTTCCCGCAGGTTACGAAGGACGAGGTACGGTCTTCGGTTCTCACCGCGGGAAACACGACTCCTGGGACCGACGGAATTACTACGACTGCTTTAAAAATAGCATGGCCAGTTATTGAGGATATTGTCCTCTCACTTTATAGCGGGTGTATACGCGAGGGTTGGCATCCTACTTGTTTTAAAGAAGCAACTCTCGTGATCCTAGCAAAACCGGGAAAAAGAGACAAGACACTCCCGCGCTCCTATAGGCCAATTGCGCTCTTGGCCGTCCTCGGAAAAGGCTTGGAGAGACTTATCGCTAGACGACTTGCCTGGATCGTAGTTAAACATCGTGTTCTGCACGATCAATAGTTTGGAGCACTCCCTCTTCGCTCTTGTAGCGACCTTATCGTAGCGGCCATCCACGACATCGAGTGCGCCTGGCAAAGAGGCCTGGTTACCTCTATGCTTACGCTCGATATAAAAGGGGCTTTCGACGCCGTGCTCCCAGGACGACTGGTCCGACGCCTCTGCGAACAAGGATGGCCGGAGAACCTCGTACGCTGGGTCTTAAGTTTTGTTACCGGAAGGAGAGCAAGAATAAGGCTTGATGGGGAGGTAGGAGACGTCTTCGGTCTCGAATGCGGACTACTACAAGGCTCACCCGTGTCTCCCATTCTATTTATGCTCTATATTGAACCTCTTTTTAAGCTAGGCATAGCTCGCCTAGGAAGGAAGCGATCTCGTTTCGGCTATGCCGATGACGTCGCTATCTTAGTAAGTTCAATATCACTAGAGAACAACTATGATATCCTAACTAAGGAATAGAAAGAAACCTTAGGATGGGGCGCGACGGAAGGAATTACTTTTGACCTTGATAAGTCCGAACTGATCTACTTTACTAAGAGACGAAAAGACGGAAACCTATTAATCATAGTAGGTTTGCCGGATGGGAGGTATTATATAGTTCAGGCTATTAAAGAAGGCTCTTCTCTATGCTGGCTCGGCGTTTACTTCGACCGTAAACTTATATTTAAGAGTTACGTAAGAAACCTCTCTATAAAAGCATGCTAAGTAGTTAATGGACTACGGGGACTAGGGAACACTGTCTGGGGCGCGCCTGCGTACTTATTTCGTCGAGCGATTACCTCTTGTGTATTACCTATTTAGTACTATGTATCTGAAGTATGGTGGCCCGGCAAGAGCCGGATAAAGAATGGACGTACTATCTTAAACGGGGTTGGTAGTCTATTATATTAACTGGACGCGATGCAAACCAAAGCTATTAGAGCGATGGTCCCCGTATATAGAACTATGCCTGTACCGATCCTATAGTGCGAGGCGGCTCTACCCCCAGCAGAGGTGATACTGGACGCGAAGCTCCACATAGCGTCCACCAGAATCCATCGTCTGGACGAGCGACACCCTCTCCGAACGAGACTCAGGGACAAATCAGGACCAGACTCACGGCTACGACGAATGGCAAGCCTCGTAAGCAAAAATACCGAATACATCGATCCGTTAGAACTCCCCCCTTGGGAGCAACTAGCGGACTGGCAGACAGCCCTCGCCAGGGTCGGCTACGAATCTAATAAGACCAAAGAAGAACAGGCCCTCTCCTTTGTAGGCAGGATGGTAACTTTCTCTAAGCGGGACATTGTTGTCTATACTGACGGGTCCCAGATGTCGGACGGTAGCAGCACCTCCGCCGGAGCAGGCTGGGTAGGGTACCAAGCTATACGGTAGATCTTCCGCGGATCCGAACCACTCGGCTCCCAAACTGAGGTATATGACGCGGAGGTACATGCTGCGTATCACGGCCTGATGGAAGCCACCCGGGCTCCTACGGCTCGTATGGTAGATAACGTCCACATCTGCCTCGATAACCTCGCAGTCGCGGCTAGACTATACTCCCAGAGCACAGGAAGCAGCCAGGCTAGATTTAGGGCCTTCAATAGGCTCTCTTCCTCCTGGACTCGGAGATAAAGAGAGAGCTGGACAACCCCCGGCAGGGTTTATGTTTGGTGGTGCCCTGGGTACACGGGAGTACCAGGAAATGAAGAAGCGGATGCTCTAGCCAAGGAAGCCTGCAAACTAATCCCAAAATCACAACCACAGCCCTCATTGGCGCACCTAGAAAGGCAAGCTAAAGCAGCTGCCTTCCAAGCCTTTGCCAGAAAATGGCTGTCCCAATGCCCTCGGCAATATGCCGACCTCGAGATAATTCCTCACCCCAAGCCGCCCGAACTCCGCCTCCCTCGGCACTTACTAGGAAGGCTATACGCAACAAGATCCCATCATAGAGACTTTGCAGCATACCACGAGAGATTCGCTCATCAAGATGCGTTGCTCAACTGCAGCTGTGGGAAACCCAAGACACCAGTCCATTTCTACTTCTGCAAGCGTGGACGCAAGGCTACACCGCGCTACCTCCGCCAACGTATGGCCAAAGCAAGTATTGATTTCTTGTTAGGTTCTGCTAAGGGAGCTTCTCTTCTATGCAAATGGATAGAGGAGACCAATTTCTTTTCCGAAATTTGCCCGAGTCATTAAACAGGAACGTTAGGTGAAGACGGTAGCCTGTAATATAGTTTAGATTAGTATAGACCATGTCGGCATAGCGCCCGGCACGTCTTTTTGTTACCAGACGTTAAATACATCATCATCATTATCATCGACAGTTGGTTGGTGATGTTGTGGTGAAGGTGGCTGCGGTGGGCTGGATCAACCAGGAGGTGGATCAGGCAGCTGGTGCCTGGGGCACCAGCCACTGCCTCAGGTATCCACAGTCCCACAGAGTGTCTTGCAGTGAACTTCCTATAGACATGATCATACCGTTCTGTACGCCCCATCGCACTGTTCACGTACCTACTTTCCCTCCTTACCTCCTATTGACCTTATTTATACCAATAATAGTGTCTATTCGGTCAGCAAGTTCCTGAGAATTAATACATCTTACAATAAGTTACTGGTCACGGAAATAGCATGCTGAGGTTTTTCTTTATTGTTTAGAAGGCTACAGCGTCCGAGAATTCATTCTGCAGGTGCTCAAATATCTACATAGCTTTGTTTTGTGTTACGCGATGAGCTTGCTGAGTTCATACTTTGCGCAAAGAGTGTCTTTTAGAATCATAAGTGCAATATCAAAAGCACCAGGTACCCTTGCTCCAAAGGCGTATTGACAGCAACATTTTCCGTAACGATTGCACATGATTATGATTATGGTACAGAGTAGCATCCAATGCGGTAATAACTCACTGCGGATCAAGAGTGTTCTAACATCTGCCCCAGTCTATTGCAGGTTATATTCCACTTCTCACCGTCACATATTCCCGCTACATCAAATGTATTTCACCGGTTTCACGCATGTGTTGCGAAGTTCTAGTACTCAGACATCGTCTGATCATTCCACTTAACAGAGAAACACCGATGATATTCTGTTATCTGCAATCCTGAATCGCGTTCGATCGACGTTTGCGACAAAAGTCTCTTCTCAGATGAGAGAGACCAGACGATCATAGTATCGCAGACAGTTCCAGTCTGCATCCATACGATTTCCTGCCTGTTCCACCCATTGTTTACCTACAACTTGATCAGCATTTATAAGACATGGAATACTGGGGAGACCTACCAGCTTCCCAGAGCTTTTTGATCTTGACGGATTTGCTTTCTCCGCCATAGGTAATGCTATCAGTGAAGGTCAGTATATTCTGTATTACAGTCCGACAATTCCGTATTTAGTCGATCTTGGGTGCACTAACCGTTGTTCGCCAATGGGGCCGTCCCAGTTACTTCGCGACTGATACCACTCGTCTGGTCGGTTGTCTAGGTCTACCCTCACGTGCAGATACTCCGCCTCGAACCTCTTAAAGAGCCTCGACGTCTTCCCAATGACCAGGCCGACATGAACGCAATCAGTCCTGTCAATGACATACCTCAAGTAAGGCTGCGTTGTCAGACGATCATTGCGATACGCCCGATTGCAAGACATGAAGTAGTAGTATTTGTTGTGCTCAAGTGGATGTCCGACTACCTTCTCCGCCTGAGCCCAAGCCTCGCTTTGATCTCGAGAAAAAATTCCAGCTGAGCTGAAAGAGTCATCACCTACTGTGATGGTGGTACCCGGATCGCGGACTGAGATCTCGGCGGGACTTGGAATAGCCAGCCCATAGGCAACCAGACAAAAGGTCAACAGGCTTAGTAGCCTCATTTTGGCTTGTGCGGATGGATATGTAGTGAGGAATAAGATGAAACTTAGAGAGGATAATTCAAGGAAACTGGAATAATAGGAACCGCTAGATGGGTAACCTAGAAGTTTGACGACAGTGGAATTTGGCGACACAGATTAGGAGGCTAGAGTGCAGTTTAAGTGAATTTCACTTGGCAGGGCATCAGTACTTTAGGCATAACTGTCACTTCACTCTTGGTACATCTCGGCGGCCTGGTAAACTTCGACCCCGTCGACGAAAACAGGGTCCAAATCTAGAGCTTCAGGCTGTTTTCATGGCTTTGATAAACTCAATTAGACAACATTGGTTATTCATTGGAATTCCGTCTGTTCTCTGTGGACCCTCTACTCTAGGGGGCGGATACTCCCGCCGGCACTTGATGCATTAGTGCAAATTCGCTCGGCTTTTCTTCACTTGGCAGTGTCCGGCCAAGGTTTAGTTGTGAATCAGGCCATACGAAGTTGCCGTCGCTCATATCCGGAATCTCCAGAGGCTTTCACCTTGTTTACTTTGACAGCTTTTGCCAAGCCGAGTAGTCGTGGACCCAAAATGCTGTAATAAAACGTAGATGGTTTTCCTGGACTTGAATCCGGGAGAGCAGGTCTGGGTACACATGCGCATTTCCCAGGGTTCCATTGTTAGCAAAACTTCATCATGATACCTCGAACATCTCTCCTCCTAATCCTCGTTTCCTCGCTCGGCCTGACTTGCGCAAGCCCTTCTACATTACCATCAAGATATTTCAAGCGCGGGGGGGATGTGGCGATTGACAACAAGTGGTTGGGCCACAATAAGATTGTCGGCTTCAAAGAAACACCCGGTTATGACCTTGTCGGAGACATCGAAATGGCCTTCAAGCCTCTACTTCACTCATATTCCGGATGCGTTCCATACCCTGCAGTTGATGCCAATGGGAATGCTGGGTAAGAAAACATTATTTATCAGAGCAGTATTATTGGGGTCTACTTTTACTGATGACTCGCAATTCAGTGCAGGTTTGAGACCTACAGGCAAGGCCGGCGGCGATTGTCGTGATTTCGAGCAAAGCGGTCAAGTTTATGCACGTGTCGGAAAGTCTCATGGACGATGGGGCATCATATATAGCTGGTATTTGCCCAAAGTTATGGGCAACGAACAACAGCACAAACACCACTGGATCACTGCCGTCGTGTGGCTCCGTGTCGACGGATGCTCAGATCAACTGTGGAACTTCAAGTCTCTCAGTGTTGCATACTCTAAGAACCCTCAAAACACATTTGATGTCACACGCAAGGATATCGATACCATCTTCGTTAAGCTAAACGACGGCGGTTCAGCAACCAATCCTATTGTAGCCTACGATAGCGGCGTGCCACTTGTGCCATCCAAGGACGGTGCCGAGTCGGCATTGAATGCCCCCCTTATCGACTGGTATCAACTCCCTCAG